CTGCGTGTCGGGCGGGGGCGACGCGCCCCGCCGCGCGCCAGCCCCCTCCGGCCGTCGTCGCCGCCAGCGGATGCACCGCGCCGAAGCCGCACCTACCGCCGAGCGGAGGCGGCGCGGGGGCCATCGCCTCCAGCGCGGCGCCGAGCTCGCCGCGGCGCGGCGCTGAGAGTTCCCCGCGGCGCGGCGCGGCGCGGCTCGCACCGCAGGCGCCAGAATTCCGCTCTCGTCCAGGCCCGCCACCGCGTTCCAGTAGCGGGGCGTCCGCTGCGGGTCGCTCCGAACCGCAGCCGCGTCGCCCGTCAGCCTGCCCTCGCCGCTGTTTTTAGAGGCCATCTCTCGGGTCAACATATTGCGGGCGTCGCTGTTGCCTCTGCCTCTGCGAGCATTCCCAGGCCATGTGCCCGTTCGAACCGGGCCAACTCATATACGCATATAGGTATATGGTTCATGTGCAACTGCATACACCTTTATTCGTGTACGCGCATACATACAAGCAGCATGCGTACGTGCATGCGTAAGTGTGTGCGTATATATATGTATATATATATATATATATATATATATATATATATACGCGTGCGCATGCATACATATGCGCGCATGCATGCATCTGCCCATGAGTTAATGAACACGTCTGTGGGGTATCATATTAAGATGATGAGGGCGGCGCGGGCGACGGCGACGCCCGCCCCGCCAGCCCCCGCCCCGTTCTGAGACTGCCATCTCCGAACTTGCCCGCGCAGTGTGCGGGGCGTTCGGGCTCGTCCGCGATGCCTCCGCTGTGCGAGCGGGCGTTCGTCGTGAGTGATCGGGTCGACGCGATGGCGGTGAGCGCGGAATCGCGTGCTATGCGTCTGGATGCGAGCAGCGCCAGCGCGGCGATGCCGAGTTGGCGAAGCGCGCGGCGCGCTTCGAGGCGCCGCGCCGCATCGCCGAGACACTCCAGCGCGCCGGGCCAGCGCGTGGTCGGCGCGTGCCCGAAGTCAAAAGGAGCGCTGCGTGGTTGAAGGGGCATGACAATTCAATTCCGCCCTCCCCATATTGCGCCCCAGCTCGAGCAGTGGTGGGCGAGCGCCACCCGGACTGCGTCGTGCTCGAAAGAAAGCGCAGGAGCGTAAAACAAAGGCTATAGCAGACGAAGCCCCCGAGGTGGATGCCGGGCTCTTGCGGGAAGCGCTCAGCAGGCACATTTCGCGCCTGTCATGCGACGGAAAGAAGTTCAGCGCTGGGCCCATGCTGCAGAACCCCTGGGCAGGGGCGCAGCTCGAGGGCGAGCTCGGCTCGGCCGACTTCCAGACGGCCTGCGTTGCGCGAGTCAACCAGTGGGGCGCGACTCAAGGGGGGCGCCGTCGTGGCTGCCCTGGGCAGCGGCGCGCACGCTGCGGGCAAGGTCGCCCGCCGCGTCGCGGTGGCCAGTTTCGTCGCAATGCCGTTGCTGGCGGTGTCGCGCGCGCTCGAATATGAATCGCGCGCGCGCGCGCGTGCGGTGCAGCTCCCGCGTGCGCAGCGGCGCTGGCGCGTGGATATCTACGCCCTGGATGGAGTGAGCGTGCATTTGAGCTGGGTCGGCGGGGTCTGTCTGTGCGCGCTGTGCGCGTTGCGTGCTGGCGCTGCGCGCCGTTGCATGGTCGCGCGCGGCCCCCGCGCGAGCCATCTAACCGCGCGCGGCCCCCGCGCGTGCCGACTGCGACGCGCGCTCTCGGCCTGCGTCGCGACTCGACTATGCCATGCAGCGAACGCTTCAGCATTTTTCACGGCATTGCTCCGCCCGCCGCCGCCTACTCCTCCTCGCTGTTCTTCTCCTCGCCCTGCCAGCTATCTCTTTCTTCCGCGACCTATGCTGAAGAAATTCAGATCCCCCCCGTCCCTCTCGCGCCCCCCGCCCCCGCGCCCCGTTGCCCCCCGCCCCCTGCCCCGTGCGCGAGCAGGCCCGGCTTGCCGCGGCAATCCGCGCCCCTTCGCGACGGCGGTCGACTGCGGCGGGGCTGGGGGGGGGGGGCGCCATAAGTGTTTGGCGCGTCGCGCTCGCCGCGCCGCCGGGGCGACCGCGCGCGGCCGCGCGCTGCGACGCGCTCCGCCGCGGCCGACGCGGCCGCGCCTGCGGCCGAAAGCGCGGCGGCCGACGTCGCCGCGCCGCCGCGGCGTCGCGCCCGGCCGCCTGGCGGCGCGCCGCCCTCTCCGCCGCCGCGCCGCGAGGGCGCCCCCCCCCTGCCCGCCCGCGTGGCCGCTGAGCGAGGGGGGTGGGCGAGGGACATCAAGGCGGCGGTCGCGGTCGTGCAGGAGGGCCTCGACAATCGCGCAGGAGGGCCTCGACAATCTCCGGAATGAGCTCGGAGATGGGCCCCCTCCTCCTCGCGCCCCCTCGCGCTCCTCCTCCTAGCCATCTCCTCGTGTTCCTCCTCAATCTCGTCGTGCCCCTCCTCTTTCTGCCCGCCTCCCCTCGCCCGCCTCGCCGCCGTCGGCGCCCCCCCGCGCTGGGGAAACATGAAGCCCGAAAATTTGGACAAACATTGGAATTCCCTAGGTTTCCGGGGGCAGTGGGATTCGTAGCCCAGGCGACCAGGAATCCAGAACAACGCAACAGGGATGTGAAGATGATGATGAGGATGGCCGATGGGAATGGTAGATGAGGACGAGGAGGACAAAGGGGCAAGGAGGGAGGAATGATATCAGGTTGGGTACCAGTAGCCCCTCCTGGTCGACCATACCCTTCCCTCCCTCCCTCCCTCGCCCCCCCCGCAGCGCTTGATGGGGCACCTGTGCCACCGCGCACGTTTGCATGTTTTCGACGTCCTTGCAGGCGTGCTGCATCGTATGTTTTTTTGTTTTGTGGATTCTGCCCATGCAACATTCCGAAACGGCGGGCGAACAACGAAGTTAATTTCACGTGGATGTTTTGGCCTTCTTTCTTGGCTGATTTGGACGCCCGAAATGGGTATGGAAATTATCCCGGCAAAGCAACCTAACAGCGATGTGCAGGAGCATATCTGGAAGCATTCCCCTTACGATTCATATGAGAATCCAGTTGTAGAATTCTGCTGTTCTCGCAGTCGTAGTCGCATTCGCGATGACAGTCGCAGTGGCAACGGCAGTCACAGTCACAGCCTCAGCCTCAGCCTGCCTCAGCCTCAGCCTCAGCCTGCCTCAGCCTCAGCCTGCCTCAGCCTCAGCCCTCAGCCTCAGCCTCAGTCTGCCTCGGCGTCAGCCTCAGCCTCATCAGCCTCAGCCTCAGCCTCAGCCTGCCTCAGCCTCAGCCTCAGCCTCAGCCTCAGCCTCAGCCTCAGCCTGCTTCAGCCTCAGCCTCAGTCTGCCTTCAGCCTCGGCCTCAGCCTCAGCCTGCCTCAGCCTCAGCCTGCCTCAGCCTCAGCATCAGCCTGCCTCAGCATTCAAAATGTGGCCCGGGAATGGAGTTCTGGGAACTCGAAGACCACGAAGTGGCCTACAGTTGGCTCCGGGCATTCAAAATCATGCCCAGGAATGGAGTTCTGGGAACTCGAAGACCACGAAGTGGCCTACAGTTGGCTCCGGGCATCCAAAATGTGGCCCGGGAATGGAGTTCTGGGAACTCGAAGACCACGAAGTGGCCTACAGTTGGCTCCGGGCATCCAAAATGTGGCCGGGAATGGAGTTCTGGGAACTCGAAGACCACGAAGTGGCCTACAGTTGGCTCCGGGCATTCAAAATCATGCCCAGGAATGGAGTTCTGGGAGCGCCAAGAACGATTTTGCGAGGATGTCCGAAGCGATTTCGGCTTCGGCGGCAGCCGCCCCGGGTCCCGCCCCGACCCCCCCTGAGGAGTCATGATGTTTTTTTGACACCACTAGAAACCTATCAGTCTTCGCTGTTAGGTAAAAATGGGTACAATGCCCAACAACAAATATTGTCCCAAACCAACAGCGGCCGCTGTTGGGCAGGCGGCCTTCTGTCTCGAACGGACACAGGCCGCGGCGGCGTGGACAGCGAGTTCTGTTCAAAATGAGCAGGAACTGCTGTTGGGCATTGTGCCCATTCTTTCCCTGCCCATTTCGGGCGTCCAGAGCTCCAACAAATCCGCACGAATTTCACTTCGAAATCTGGAACGGAATTCTCCAGGACACCCCGTGCCCATCCTATTGCTTTCCGAACGAACTCCGCTCTGCGATGTTGGCGCCATGAAAATTGGGCAAGCGTCAGCGCATTCAGGATTGTTGCTCTGCTGTGCATAATAATGCCACGGTGGTGTACCACTTCGTTCCGGCTTCCTTCCACGTCTTCCAGGACACGGTCCGTCCCAGGCCATCGGTCGACGGATGTGCAGCGGGCTGAGGGCCCATCTAAACCCTCTTCCATGCAGCGGGGGCGTGTGGCAATGGATTCGTGACATGTGCAATTGTTGTGCAATCGCGTTTTTGCTACTTGTCATGCCTTCATGTGTTGCTATAGTTATGGTGGTCACTTTGAAAGCTCTGGTGATCGGCCTCCGCTTTGCATCTATCAATGATCATGGCCACCAGTGGGTGTTCTCCAGCTTTTGCTGATGAGGTGTAGCACGTTATTTGTACGGGCGTCGGCAGTGTCGTTGAATTCTGATTTGTCGCGTGCGCGGGAGACTCGTCATTCTCCTTCTTGGCAATGGGCTTCGAAGCCAGCTGTCACAAGCCACGCGTGCGGAATGCATCATCGTATGCTTCGTTCGCTCGTGCAGGCCGTCCACTGAAGAGATCGTCTCGCTGGTGTGCGTGGGGTCCTCCCCTCCCCTACCTCGGCATGGTCTCCGACGGTTGTTAGCAGTACGGGTGCAGTGTGCGCGCATCACGTGGGGGAAGCAGCATCGCCGTCCTCGTCCTTCTCCCCGTGTCGCTGGAGGTGGTCTGAGGGCGGGCTGCACGGAGTTACAAAACTTGGCCCTCATGCGTTATTCTTGTCATCTTCCCTCCCTCCCTCCCTCCTCCTCGTCCTGCCCCCTCCTCGCTCCTCCTCCTCCTCCTCCTCCTCCTCCTCCTTCCCCCTCCTCCTCTGTGGGGGTGGGGTGAGGCGGGACGGAGGGCCTCGGGGCCGCCGCCACGGGGGGGGGGGGGGGCGGCTCACGCCGCCAAGCGGATCTGCAGCTCCAGCGACCGCCAGCCCCCCGCCTGCGCGCGGGGCCAGAAGGAGGAAACAGGACGAGGAGAGGCGTGCCTGCGTGTGTGTCGTGTGTCGTGTGTGGTGTCGTGTGTCGTGTGTATGTGTGTGGTGTGTGTCGTGTGTGTCGTGTCTGTCGTGTCGTGTGCGTGTGTGTTTTTGTGTGTGTGTGTGTGTGTGTCGTGTGTGTCGTGTGTGTCGTGTCTGTGTGTGTGTGTGTGCCTGTGTGTGTGTGTGTGAATGTGTGTGTGTGTGTGTGAATGTGTGTGTGTGTGTGTGTGTGCGTGTGGATGTCTGTGTGGCTGCCGCTGTTTCATCCCTGTTCCTGTCCTTTTCAAGGTTCTCGTGCCTGTCGTCGCGTCCCACACGCCGCCCCTGCGGGTCGACACGGCGTCCCCTCCCTGCTGCCCAGACTGCGCACTGCTTGGTACTCTGTCGTCTCCCATTACTCCCCCTGTCCCTGGGGGCTCCCCTCGCGGCGGCACCCCTCCAAATTGGGCGGTTGCAGTATTTCTACTCCGCGTGATCTGGGCTGGCCGAACGCGTATCTTCGCCCGATCCTTCTACGCCGCGCCACTTCGAGTGCGGCCGCGGCGCAAACAAAATTGTGTGTGTGCGTGTGTGTGTGTGTGTGTTTCTGCGTGTATGTGCGTATGTGTGTGTGTGTGTGACCACATTGACATTTTCCACGACGTGGTTTTCGCGTTCTCGCGCTTATCTGCATGAGCATGTGTTCATCCAGACCCCCCACCTGCACCGCCAGGTGGTACTTGGACTCAGCGCGCATCGCCGTAGTGCTCGCGACAGTTCGGCAATCTCGCCGCTGGAGGAACACACGCGTGTGCGTGTGTTGGGAGGCCTAGCTGCCCAGAGAATTGGTGACTGCTTGGCCCACACCGGGTTAAGCCAACTCCGCACATACTGGGGTATTCGCAACGGGTAATCACTTACTGGACCCACACTGGGGTAATCACAACGGTGATGCACTTACTGGCTTACGCGTTCCGTAGCTTCTGAATCCGTGGTTGTGCTCACCAACAGCGTACGAAGAATGTGAGGGTGTGTGGTGTGTGTGTGTGTGCGCGTGTGTCTCTGTGGGTCTGTCTGTGGGTCTGTCTGGATCATGCGGCTTCGGCTCGAGCGCTTTCGCCACCCGTGCGAATGCAACTGATGTAGCGTCTCCCGCCGCATTCGACGCGATCGTGCTGCACATCGCCCGAGGAGCTAAACACGTGTGTGTGTGTGCGTGTGTGCGTGTGTGCGTGTGTGCGTGTGTGCGTGTGTGCGTGTGTGCGTGTGTGCGTGTGTGCGTGTGTGCGTGTGTGCGTGTGTGCGTGTGTGCGTGTGTGCGTGTGTGTGTGCGTGTGTGCGTGTGTGCGTGTGTGCGTGTGTGCGTGTGTGCGTGTGTGCGTGTGCGCGTGTGCGTGCGTGTGCGTGTGTGCGCGTGTGCGCGTGTGCGCGTGCGCGTGCGCGTGTGCGCGCGTGCGCGCGTGCGCGCGTGCGCGCGTGTGCGTGCGCGTGTGCGCGTGTGCGCGTGTGCGCGTGTGCGCGTGTGCGCGTGTGCGCGTGTGTGCGCGTGTGCGCGTGTGCGCGTGTGCGCGCGTGTGCGCGTGTGTGCGTGTGCGCGTGTGTGCGCGCGTGTGCGCGTGTGCGCGTGTGCGCGTGTGCGCGTGTGCGCGTGTGCGCGTGTGCGCGTGTGCGCGTGTGCGCGTGTGTGTGTGTGTGTTGTGTGTGTGTGTGTGTGTGTGTGCGCGTGCGTGCGTGCGTGCGTGCGTGCGTGCGTGCGTGCGTGCGTGCGTGCGTGCGTGCGTGTGTGTGTGTGTGTGTGTGTGTGTGTGTGTCTCGCCGCCATCGTATCCGCCCCCTTCGGTTGTCCTCCGTCCCCTCTCCGTCGCACCTGCCCTACCTTGCCGCTCGCCCTGTCGGCCCTGCCTGTGTCATCGCCACTGCGCCTCGCCTTGTCCCGTCCGGCCGGTGCCGGCCTCTCGGCACCGCCTCGTCTTGCTCCTTCCTTCCTCCTCCCCGCAGCGCACGGAACGGGTGTGCGCGTTAGGGGGCCACGTGTGAACCCTACCCCTACCCCCAGGATTTCCGAGGGGGAGGGTGGGGTTCACTTCGTTCGGGAGCTCCCGAACGAAGTGAACCCCACCCTCCCCTCAAAAATCGTGGGGGTAGGGGTAGGGTTCACACGTGGCCCCCTAACGCGTGACACAAGTGATCCCTTCGAGTTGCGTGACACAAGTGATCCCTTCGGGTTGCTCCCCGTCCCTGGCTCCTGACCAGCCGCGCGCGCCTCGCTTCCGGACCTTCTCGCTTCCGGACTTCCTACTCCTCGACGCCGCGCGCGAGGCCGCCCTGGCTCCCGGCTCCCTATCGGTGACAGGCCTCTCCCTTGCCCCGGCGCCCCCCCCGGCCGGCCACGACCAGATGCGTCGCCCGGGTCCATGGAGCCCCCGCCCTCCAAGCAAGGCGCCTGTGCCAGTCCCGACCAGTGCCATGGGCACGGGCCACCACGCCCTCGTCTCCCAGGTCTTCGCCACGCTGGACGAGGGCTTCGCGTACCACGACTACGTCAGCGCAGCTTGGTACATGTGGGCCCACCGCAACGCTCGTCTGCAGTCTCTCCCGCCGCCGGGCAAAGCCCGCTTGGGCCCTCCGCCTTCACTGCCAGTCAGCTCAGCCCATCCGCTCCCTCCTTCTGAAGTTGCCCGAGCTTTTCGCCCCACTGGGGGCTTCGGGCCAGCAGGCTGGACATGTCGGTGCGTTGTCACCCCGTGGGGCCGCTGGGGGGGCATTGTTGGGGCCGGAGGGGTCGTGTTGGACGCCTCGTGGATCGTCACGTCATGTGGCCCTCTGGGGCTGTATCGGCACTCTCTCGAATGCCTCCGAGAACGTCGTGTGGGGATCTTTGGGGCCTCCCGGGGCCGCAAGCAATTTTCTTGTTTGGGCCCTGCTGGGAGTTCTTTTAGAAGCCTCTTCGAGCGTCGTGGAGGCCTGTGGGGTCGTATGGAGGCCATCTGGCGCGTCTGGGAGCGATCTGTCGGCGACTCGGGGCTCCTCGGATCGTCTGGGGAGCCTGTCGGGGCCCTCTCCGGGGCCACATTGGCACCTTCTCAAGGGTCTCTTAGGCCGCCTTGGGGCGATCCGGGAGGCCTCTGGGGCCGTGTTGGAGCTCGGGGAAGCCCAAAGGCGGAATCATGCCGTATTGGAGGCCTCTGACTGGAGGCCATCTTGGCTGTCTGGAGGTGAGCTGCCGGCGATTCGGGGCTCCTTGGATCGTCTGGGGAGGCTCATGGGGCTCTCTGGGCCCGTCTTGGACGCGTCTCTTAGCTGTCGTAGAAGCCTCGTAGACCGTCTTGTGGCCCTCTGGGGCTGCACGGGCACCCTCTTAGGGGTGTCTTCGGCCTTCTTGGGGGGATCTTGGGACGCTCTTGGGGTCATCTGGGAGCGTGGAGAAGCCAGAAAGAGGGGAACGCGATGGATGGAGAGGGCAACAAAACGGAGGGAAGGGGAGACGGGAAGAGGGAAGAGGGAGGGAGGGTGATCTTAAGGATATCTTGGGCCTGGGACTTCCTTGGGTTCTCGTGGGGGCCTCCTATGCCCCTCATGGGTCTCTCTCGGGGGCATACTGAGGCTCTCTCGGACCCTCCTCGAGCTGTCTTGGAGACCTCCCTGTAGGGCGCCTCTGGGCGATGTTAGGACGAGCTCGGAAGCTCCCAGGGCGGTCTTGAACCGTTCTGGGCTCGAACAGGCGGGAACCCACAAATCCTTCAAAAAGCGAAGGACACCATTTTGGCCGTCTTCGAGCGCTCTTGAGCCATCTCGGGGCCTGCTTGTCCCGTCTTGAAGCCTCTTGGGCCGTTTTGAAACCGTTTCAGACTCTCTCGAAGGCCCCCAGAAGGGTTGCGGTAAAAAATACCCCCCGATACCATCGAGGTGGGTGGGGTCCTTTCGGGGGAGGCGGCTTTGCTGGTTCATCGTCATCATCATCATCATCATCATCATCATCATCATCATCATCATCATCATCAGCATCAGCATCAGCATTAGCATCAGCATCAGCATCAGCATCAGCATCATCATCATCATCATCAGCATCAGTATCAACATCAGCAACATCTTCATCTTCATCTTCATCTTCAGCATCAGCATCAGCATCAGCATCAGCATCAGCACCAACACCAGCACCAGCATCAGCATCATAATCAGGAGCATCAGCATCAGCATCAGCATCAGCATCATCATCATCATCCTCATCATCATCATCGTCATCATCATCATCGTCATCATCATCATCGTCATCATCATCATCCTCATCATCCTCATCATCCTCATCATGCTCATCATCCTCCTCAGCATCATCATCATCATCATCATCATCATCATCATCATCTTCATCAGCATCATCATCATCAGCATCAGCATCATCAGCATCAGCATCAGCATCAGCATCAGCATCATCATCATCATCAGCATCAACATCAACATCATCATCATCATCATCATCATCTTCATCATCATCTTCATCTTCATCTTTATCTTCATCTTCATCATCAGCATCAGCATCAGCATCAGCATCAGCATCAGCACCAGCCTCAGCACCAGCATCAGCATCAGCAGCATCAGCATCAGCATCAGCATCAGCATCAGCATCAGCATCATCAGCATCATCATCATCATCCTCATCATCATCATCGTCATCATCATCATCCTCATCATCCTCATCATCCTCATCACCCTCATCATCCTCCTCAGCATCATCATCATCATCATCCTCCTCATCAGCATCAGCATCAGCATCAGCATCAGCATCAGCATCAGCATCAGCATCAGCATCAGCATCAGCATCATCATCACCACCACCACCACCACCACCACCATCATCATCATCATCATCATCATCGTCATCATCATCATCATCATCATCATCAGCATCAGCATCAGCATCAGCATCAGCATCAGCATCAGCATCATCATCGTCATCGTCATCGTCATCGTCCATCGTCATCAA